CCCCCCGCGCCTTCCAGGCACTGCTCCCCCCCCTTTCCCGCAGTCCGGCAAAGAAGAGGAGGTAATTTCGCCCCTCATACAGCTACGCATTGATCCGTCGCTTATTTATTTGTTGATGGGTTCTGTTCGAAGGAGAGAGAGGGTTGGGGAGAGGGAGAGAGGGAGAGAGGGAGAGAGAGAGAGAGAGAGAGAGAAGCGCCGTACTTCCGAGCTTGCTCAATTGCTCCAACCAAGCCCCAGAAAAGAAAAGAAAAAAAAAATCCACTTTCGATTTGGTTGTGGTGTTGCGGTGGTTTTTTCGGCGATCAGAAAGCTACGTCGGTGGAGAGCGCTTGAGGACAAGCGAAAGCCGAGCGAAGAGCTTCATTCCCCCCCACCCACCCATCCTCCAGCTTCCTCCTCCCTCCCTCCCTCCCTCCCTCCCTCCCTCCCTCCCTCCCCATCCCCACCCGGTCCGGGATGCTTGAATTCAAGCCCTCCAGTAGAAACAAACTGGGAGCTGAGAAAGGAGAGAAGCGGCGCGGTGGGCGAAAGCAGCGGATCAGCCCTTCGCCTCAACTTCGGCAGCTGAGGTGGGAGAACCTCTCCGCGTGGAAGGAAAAAAAAAAGGGGGTGGTGGACGTCTGAAAGCAGAACTCGCGAAGACCGGGAGAGCAAACGGACAATTAAAGAGGGGAGCGGAGCGGGGGTACCGCAGCAGCAACAGCGGAGGCTTTGGGAAGGAGACAAGGCAGCTTCCTGCAGGCGAAGAGCCAGCCTCCCCTCCCTGCCTCTTCCCAGCGGATACTCTCCGCACCCCGTTTTCTGCGAAGTCTGAAGCGAGAAGCGAGGGTGCAACAGCAAGAAAGAGAGAGAGAGCCGAGCCGAAGCAACTACCCCCCCCCCACTTCCACCCAGCAATTCCTCATCGAGACCCAGAGACGCGGAGAAGCCCACCCGGGCCTGGCTTGGCGCAGCCTTGGCCACCAGCTTGGATCCTTCCTGTTTCGCTCTTCTTCTTCTTCCTCCATCCTCCTCCTCCTCTTCCACTTCCCGCGTCTTTTCTTCTTGCTTGGCTTAAGCCCTTCGTGTTCACAGCGGACCTTGATTTAATTTCGATACAATTAAGGCACGCGGTGAATGCCAAGAGAGAAGCCACGTCCAGCCTCCCTTCGTTCGCTTCCTCCAAAGGTGAGGTCCGGTCCGGTCCAGTCCGGTCCAAAGCCACGGAAGGAAGGAAGAGGACGGACTGCCGCGGATCGGTTTCTTCCTCGGCTGCATCCAGTCCGGGATACAGAGAATCAAAGACGGGTTTTTAAAAGAAAGGTAAACATCCTGACTGGTAAGGGCACGAATGGGTATTAACATTCCTGGTTTGACTTGGCTTTAATTTTTGGACCGTTAGCTACGTGCATATGAGAGAGAGAGAGAGGGGCGGTGTGTGTATATACGTGCGCGAGCGAGCGAGCGACAGCGCGTGCAATAAATACTGTTTCAACCCCTGGTTTGGAAGCTTTGGGTCTTATATAAATGTAAGAGGTAGGAGAAACCTCGGTGGAAGGTGTGTGTGTATATATACCGTATATGTATATATTAAATGGTGCTGGTGGAGATTAAGACGATTCAACAGCTTTACACCGTGGTGCTGAAAGACTCCGAAGAAAGGGAGTGGGAGCGGGGTGTAATTAGCTGCGTCTACCTGGCCGTTTGTCAGATCCCCTAGAGTTGGCAGGTGAGGGGTAGTTGAGTACGTGTAAACCCGGCAGTGAAGGGGTGTGAAGTCCAGGCAGCCCTGGCAAATGTGTGACAGTTGTGTATGTATGTGTGTGTGTATGCGGCTCTCCGTATGCGTATTGTCCTGCGCATCTTTAAAAGGTTGGGGGGGGGGGGGGGGGGAAGGAGCGGGGGGTTTGTAGATCCCGTTGGGAGGGGGGAGGGAGGGGAAGGGAGGGGAAGGGCAAAGGGGGGGGGGGGGAAATGGTGCGGGGGGGGGGGGGGCCCCCCGCCCGCCCCCCCCCCCCCCCCCCCCCCCCCCCCCGGTTTATCCTGTATCAGCTTTTCCCAACTCCGGCTGTCCAAAATTATCTGATCAGAACGATTAGACTGGATCGAGTCAAAGTCAGGTCCAATTCGCTTGGAAGGCACCGTTTTGTGGGGCCTTCTATGTGACTGAACCCGCATCGCATATTTTGCGCAAGGTTGGCGAGAAGCTGAGCAACCAACGGGATGGGAAATATTTCCCTTTAGTGAGAGGAGCTCTTTTTTCAAAAAGGGGGGAAAGGATCTTTAGCCGCAGCGTCTAAAATTCAAAATTCCACGTCTGAAAATAAATACTCCAAATAGAACGAGAGGCCAGAATCGTCCCTTCCCTTTTCTACGGTCCAAGATCTGAAAAGTAGGAGAAGCAGTGGAAGCTCCGTGCATCTTCTTTAACTGGGTTCAAAAGAAAAGTCTTGGCCCGAATCTTTCCAGCTAGGACTAGTTTTACCCTCGCTCTGTTTATCCATTAACCTGGTTGAAATTTGCCCATCACAGTGGCGCAACCACAATAAGCAAGTAGTCTTGGGGTTCACACCACACCTTAAGTCACACACACACACACACACCAAAAAAGTGGCTAACTTTAGCATTTGGTGCTAATGCGGCTTTCTAACCGATTGGGTTCAGCATGTTGCAAGCGCACCTGCTCGCCCCCTTCCTTCATGAAAAGCCTAACCCTCTAGCCCTTCCGACGAGTTCCACTTAAGACATCAGTAAATCTACAAATACTAGAATCAGGCGGTGTGGATGATGGAAGCTGTAGTCAAATACGTATGGAAGACAAGGCTGTGTAGAGGAAGCGCTCTCGCCGAGAGATGGAGGGACTCGGGAGGGTTTCAGGACCACGGAGAGCTCCGTTCGGGAGATGCTTTGCTAGATCTGTGTTGTGTTTTTTTTCCCCTCTGATGGAAATGGGTGAAATGAATTAAAATCCGCAATCGCGGATGATGAAGGGATGGAGACGTCTGCCTCTTAGCCAAATAATCGATGCAGCCTCTCGCCTGATAGACGGCTCTTGGGCACGCGGAAGGCGAGGAGAGCAACCCGAAACCCCTTCTCCCCACTAAAGCCGGTGGCAGAGAGAAGGAAGGCCCGTATTACGCAGCGTCTTGGGACCGTGTGAGTAAAACCGAGTTTTCTTCCTGCTTGGCCCCTTAAAGCTCTGCACCTTTTACGACAACGCGAGGCCAGGAACTAGGGCTGTCGTTGTCCCTCGCCCTCTCCCCCTCCCCTCCCCTCCCTTCCCCTCCCCGCTGTGCCCATCTCTTGGGCTGCTTTCTGCAGGAAGGGGGAGGAGCCGACATCCAACTTCCCCACCCCCACCCCCGCGGTCTTCGCCATCTGCCTCAGCGACCTTTCGCCTTCTCAAGGACAGAAGGCTGAAGGGAGTGGGGGGGGGGGAGACAGCAGGAAAAATAGAATTTTTCTAAACTTGTGGGTATAAGAAGGAACCAGGCTGGGGGGAGGAGGAGGAGGAGGAGGAGGAGGAGCAGAGAGGGAGGAAGGCAGAACCTCGGATCTGGGCCTCCAGATTTAATCGGGATGCTCAAAGCATTCTGCAGACTGCCTGGCCTATTTGTCTCCCCTTTATAATGTCCCCCCCCGTTCCTGTTTTGCAAACCTTCTAGGCGTTGGGGCCCCCAATTATGATAAGGCAGGCGGGTTTTTTTCCTCACTCAGGTGTGTGTTTGTGTGTGCATGCACGCTAGTGCTTGTGCTGTCTAATATCCAGCACAGGGGATCCCACTTGCAACCATCAGAGCTGGGGGTTTTTCACTGGCCTGGTGTGCAAAGCCATAGATCAGTGGTTCTCAACCTTCCTAATGCTGCGACCCTTTAATACAGTTCCTCATGTTGTGGTGACCCCCAACCATAAAATTATTCCTAAAACCATTGAAAATACGTGTTTTCCGATGGTCTTAGGCGACCCCTGTGAAAGGGTCATTCGACCCCCAAAGGGGTCCCAACCCACAGTTTGAGAACCACTGCCATAGATGGTGCTCAGCAGGGCTTACTCCTCCCAAGGAGTTGTGTACAAGAGTGCAGCTTAGGCACTCTGGATGGAGCTTAGCCAGACTTCCCGTTTTCCTGTTCTTGACACAGAGCTGTTAAGGAAGGAACCTGCCTAGGAGAGAAATTTGGCTTTAAAAAAAAAACAACAACCAAATCTTTACTGGCTTGAAGGATGCACAGGCAGAAGGATGTGGCATTGCACTAGGACAGCTCTACAGCACAGCATCACTGCCACCTTCCAAGCAGAGCAGAGCAGGGAACTCAGCATAGCGCCATCTTAAATAGCTCTTTCTTTAAACGTTTATTGCTCACTCCTGATGTCACTATGCGCGTTTTAAATATTTAAAACTCAGGGCATCTCTGTCAACAGATTTGTGGTGTGACAGAAGAAAAGCCCAGTTAGTCAAATTTTATGAGTCTTATATAGATGTTTTAATTTAATTTAATTTTTTTTAAGGCAGATCCAACAGCAGAGTGACCTAAAAGGGATTTATTACATTAGGAACTATTCTACTTGCAGGAATAGCTTTTTTGTAACAGGAATAATCAAATCCGCATTTACAATTTATAATGAATCTCCAAGGAAGATTTATTTTACCAAACCAAGGCAAAGTTCTTGCTCCTTATTCCTGTTTATCATTTGTATTATACCCGTTAATGAAAGTAGAAACACGATCATAGTCTCTGCATATTTATTTGGAAATAAGAAGACCCATTTTAACTCTGGCAGGATTCATACACTTAAAGCATGGCTTTTCGTGACATTGTGTTCAACGTTTTGCTGAACGCGCCATAAATGGTTTGGTTCGCATAATGCACGCACAACGTACATCAACGGTGCTGCAGGAACAAGGCGATTGTGAGAAAATATGCGGAGCCTGAGTTTTCAAAGCAGATCAGGGTTTAGGGATTCTAATTAGCGGTGTTGATTATCCACAAGGCATTAACTTTGCATCTTAATCTTCCAGAAATTAAAAGACAGCTGCACCCCTCTGATTTGATGGCTCAGAAAGCAGCCATGCATGTGTGTCGCGATATACCAGGGTATGTATGTGGTGTGGTCTTTTCTATTCTATGAAATCCAAAGTGCTTTCTGAATTCGTACATCATAACCTTGTAAGGCTTTCCAGAAGTCCTTTGCAGATGAGGGTGTTTGAGTCATCTTTCAAAAGATATGATTGTCCTTGTTCATACGCAACCCTCACAGCTCCAAAAGGGAGAAATAGAATAATGGAAGGGGGAGGGAATATTGACTTTGGAAGCCTCTTTTCCTTTGCATTTCCCCCTCCCTTTTCTTCCACAGATGGATCTTTGCCTCCAAACAAGTCACTTTTTGAAAGAAAATGGCACTGGATAAGATCTGGGTTTCGATGCTGCTTGTTTTTTTGAGGCGCCTGTTCATTGGGGATCTTTTCAGAATTGCTAGCTGAGCCTAAAGGGGGATATATTTTAATGCCACTGCTGGGGAAATCAGTCAATTAAGCCATTGTAGCATGCATCAAATTATCCGCATGACTGGAGATGGAGTAACCATCTTGATAGGCTTTCTAAAGACAGGACCGCAGCCCTACCCATATTCAATCTATGCAGATCTACAGTATGCGAAAGGCTAATCCTCAGGGGGGTTTTATGGGGGGGTTTTTCCAGAGCAGGAAAAAAAAGGGGGAAAAAACCCCACCTTGGTATTGAGAGGACATTCATTAAATTTATAGCTGCAATCTCAAATCAGGGATGCCGCTTAGCAGAATTGTGGGTTCACAAATGCAGTGGGAGGGGGGGGTTTCACCACAATGTAGACCCAGTAAAAAGATGCATGTTTTATTCCTTATACTCCTCCTCCCCCCAGTTAGACTGCAGTATTCAGAATAAAAAAAAATGACTCAATTGCACCACTGGTTCTCCCAAGGCCAGTTCCCCTTTCAAAAGGGGATCGGCAAAAAAAGCCTATTGCTAGTATTATTATTTTTTTTAATTTGATTTATATGCCGCCCTTCTCCGGAGACTCAGGGCGGCTTACAATGTGCTCAGCAATAGCCTTCATCCATTTGTATATTTATACAAAGTCAGCTTATTGCCCCCACAACTGGGTCCTCAATTTACCTACCTTAGAAAGGATGGAAGGCTGAGTCAACCTTGAGCCTTGGCGAGATTCGAACCCTGCAGTAATTGCAGGCAGCTGGTCTTAATAACCAGCTTAATAACAGGGTGCCTTAGACCACTGTACTACCACTGTACTACCAAGGCTCTTTTTTATCTCGTGCATGCGTGCTATAAAGGATGGAGCTGTTTTTCAATGGTTTTGATTCATGTGTCCTTCTGCCACAGCATGGCGTGTTATCGGGGAAGGTCTTTTGCTAGTAACCTACAACTGCTAACGCTGAGGATTGATTTAGGTCAATCAATCAGCTATGGGTTCCATCCCCCGAGTATTGTTATTCAGTCTGGCGTAAGGATTCCAGGGATCAAAAACAATCTCATTAAATGTAAAAACCCACCCACCCACCCACCCAATTCTCATCTAACTTCTTGAGATGTTGGAAAATTCACCCGAGGACCTCGCGAGAGAACAAAGGCTAAAAATGCATGGAAAATGGATGAAAACTGGGCCATTTTTTAAAATTCGAAAATAATAATCGTTTGAGGGCTTTGTATGCCCCGTTTCGGGTAGCTATAATAGATGTGCTGGCATTTGCAGACGTTCCGCCAGTTCCTAATTTAGCCTGACTGTTAGTAAGTAGCTCAGGAATGAACTATCACACCTCCCTTAAGCCTCCCTTAAAGTGGGTATCTTTAGAGCAGTGTTTCTCAACCTTGGAAGCTTGAAGATGGGTGGACTTCAACTCACAGAATCCCCCAGCCAGCGCTGCTGGCTGGGGGATTCTGGGAGTTGAAGTCCACCCATCTTCAAGCTACCAAGGTTGAGAAACACTGCTCTAGAGGTAAAAGAGAATTTGCATTTTTATGCCCCATTGTTAATTCTCTGCTCTTAGAAAGGTGGCCAAGCCAAGGGAAAAAGCCTAGTTTTCTGTGCGACATGCCGATTTTGAATTTTGTTTCTGATACATTTCAAATATTTAGCCATGTCAAGCGTATACTGCTATCACCTATGCTGGTACAGTCCGTTGTAGAATGGTGCTGAATTTATTGTGCAAACGCACAATAAATAAATTCACTCTGAAGGGATCAGAGACCACACAGCAGTGGTCCAATTGTTGAAACAATGCTTTTAAAAGCACGCGTAGCATCTTGGTTAATGCGATCCAGGGGCTGCATTCTTTCATATTTTCATAGATACCCTAGACAAGCCCATTTATGCCTTTACATTCTCTGGCCAAGGATGTAAAGGCATGACGATTTCAAACTTCAAAACTGACCATGTGCCTCCAGCAAGAAAGCCATGATATTGACTAGCCCTGAGCTCCTAAAAAAAAAATGGCCTTATGATTGCAACATTACACAGCATGTTAGACAGCATACTAAAAAGCAGAGACATCACCCTGCCAATAAAAGTGGGTATAGTCAAGGCTATGGTTTTCCCAGTTGCAATGTATGGCTATGAAAGTTGGACCATAAGGAAGGCTGAGCGCCAAAGAATTGAGGCCTTTGAACTCTGGTACTGGAGAAGACTCCTCTGAGTCCCTTGGACTGCAAGGCGATCCAACCGGTCAGTCCTAGAAGAGGTCAACCCTGACTGCTCTTTAGAAGGCCAGATCCTGAAGATGAAACTCAAATACTTTGGCCACCTAATGAGAAGGAAGGACTCACTAGAGAAGAGCCTAATGCTGGGAATGATTGAGGGCAAAAGAAGAACGGGACGGCAGAGAACGAGGTGGCTGGATGGAGTCACTGAAGCAGTCGGGCGTGAGCTTAAATGGACTCCAGAGGATGGTAGAGGACAGGAAGGCCTGGAGGAACATGGTCCATGGGATCACGATGGGTTGGACACGACTTCGCAATTAACAACAAATGATTGCAACGCCTCTGCCATTAATATACTTTTGTGCCTCCTGTCATCAGGTCAAAGAACAGCTGACCTGGGACAGCATAGAAAGGTATTCCTGTCTTTTGTTTTAAGCCTAAAAACAGTTTTGGTTTTAATTAGTGTAGCAACCAAGGAAAAATGAAAGAGAGGGGAAGGAGGGGCCTTGTTAGAATGTGCCTTAAAATATTTGTCCAATTTTTGTCTTTTATCAAATTCTCCTTAGAACTACATGCTTTTGAGGGGGGGAGGGAGGAACCAGAATTCCCGTATTTTCTCTCTTCTTACGTCGTTGTATGATAGGAATTGGAATAAGAATGACCTGAGTTCAGGTTCCTCTCTTTCAGAGCTATCTTCTTTGCTCAGATTTGGACTGCTTGGAAATTTAAACATGTAAACAAAATAATTCGGCATTAAAGATATACTAAATTTAGTATTTAATCCTATATCTTTTGAATCAGTGGGGCCGAGAACACAACTTCTGGTAACATAGCTTTCTTCCTAAGCCCCCTTCTTACAAACCCAAAGAACATTGATGGAAATTCAAGAAAAATCCAACAATATTCGTATTTTCATCCATCCAGGGAATATCTAACAATTGCAGGTAGTCCTTGACTTACAACAGTTCAGTTAGCGATCATTCGAAGTTACAAGAGAATGAAAGAAGTGTGAAAAATGTTCAGACTTAACGACTGTTGCAGCATCCCTCTGGTCACGTGATCAGAATTCAGATGCTTGGCAAGTGACTTATGTTCATGACAGTTGCAGTGTCCGGGGGGGGGTGTCACATGATCCCCTTTTGTGACCTTCTGACAAGCAAAGTCAATGGGGAAGCCAGGTTCACTTAACCAGGTTAACACTTAAGCCAGGTTGTGTTAGTAACTTGACAACCGCAGTGTTTCACATAACAACGATAGCAAGAAAGATTGCAAAATGGGACAAAATTTACTTAACAAATGTCCTCCTTAGCAATAGAAATTTTGGGCTCAATTGTAGTCGTAAGTCTGGATAGCTCAACAGACTAAAAAAGCCTGTTATTAACATTCAGCTGTCTGCAATTATTGCAAGTTTGAATCTTGCCAGGCTCAAGGTTGACTCAGCCTTCCATCCTTTCTAAGGTAGGTAAATTGAGGACCCAGTTTGTGGGGGCAATAAGCTGACTTTGTATAAAATATACAAAAATATGAAGGCTATTGCTTAACGCATTGTAAGCCGCCCTGAGTCTCCGGAGAAGGGCGGCATATAAATCTAATTTAAAAAAAAAAAGTCAAGGACTACCTGCATTGTTAGATATTCCCTGGATGGATGAAAATACGAATATTGTTGGGTTTCTCTTGAATTTCCATCAATGTTCTTTGGGTTTGTAAGAAGGGGGCTTAGGAAGAAAGCTAAAACTAAGGTTGGTTTTTGTCTAGACACCAGAACTGACATTGTTGCAATCAAGGTGAAAATAAGACCATAGATAGTCAAGTACTGTAGTCCAAGGGTCTCCAATCTTGGCAACTTGGAGACCCCTGCTGTAGTCAGTTCTCTGCTTTGCACACAAACATCTGAAAATGGGCAGCCAGACAAAGGAAGTGCAGGTATTAATAATTAAAACAGCACTCTAAACATCTACCATCATGCTTTTTAGCTCTTGCAGCATAATCTAGAAGACCAACCGATGTGGCGTTGTTAAGCTTATTTCAATTATGCAGAAGAGCAACGAATCATCCATTAAGTCAGAGTGAAATTTCTGCCAAATGTAAGTTTGCTATATATATATAAAAACAGGAGCACCCCTGTGATATTTATATCTATTTTTTTCTTTCTTAATATTGGGAAGATGCACCTTTCTGAGATGAGTGAAAGGGTTGAAATTTTTATATCTTCGCCCTGGCTATCGTGACCACATTCAGTATTAGTACCATGTTTCCCCGAAAATAAGACTGGGTCTTATATTAATTTTTGCTCCAAAAGATGCATTAGGGCTTATTTTCTGATTAGGTCTTATTTGGGGGAGAATGCAGTACTAAATGCATCCATCTGGCTGACAATCTTAACTGGGGCTTATTTTGGGGGGTAGGGCTTATATTAGGAGCATCCTGAAAAATCATGCTAGGACTTATTTTCCGGTTGGGTCCTATTTTTGGGAAAACAGGATACTTAGCCAATGGCAAAATGCCTTGAAAAACAGGTTGGCGTCCACTCTGTTCAAGGAAACAGTGCAGGGCATTAACTGGGCACAATCTGTCTCCTCTTTTGGTAGCCAGGAAAACAGGCATGGTCATCAACCTCACTTCATGTCCTGTCAAGTCATGTCAGAGGCTGCACACCATGAAATGCAATTTCTTTAGCAATTTGATAGTGGAAACCACCATCTCTCTTTGGAAGTGTTTGAGCTGTGCCCGAAGAGCCATATGGCCAGGGATACTTTAATTTAGATCCTTGCATTGAACAAGGAGTTTGAGCTCATTGGCCCCAATCGTACCTTCCAATTGAGACTCGATGATTCTAAAGGGGAGAAAGAGCTGTATGAAAAAGGTTTTTTTTTAAAAAAGAAAAAAGATTGAGACAAGCAGACCTAAAAGGCATCCAGAATAAATGAAAGAAGTTCTGGCTTGTGCTGCGTGTTCTTGATAGCCACAGTGACGGTAGAAAGACATAGATTCAGATGTTGGCTCCATGCTTGGAGCATGCAATGTTTGAAAATTACAGGTCATCATTAAAGGCAGGCAAGGTGCCCTTTTATGCCCTGTGGCCACTTTGGTCACAGTCCACTTTCTGTGTTTTAAAAATGCCAAAGAAAGAAATGAAAAATAGCCCACCTGTCACTAGGTTAGAAGCATAGAATCATAAATGGAAGGGACTTGGGAGGTCTTCTATCTAGTCCAACCCCTTGGCCAAGGCAGGAGATCTTATACCATCCTGAACAAAGCCCAATCTTTTTTTTTTTTTTAAATCTCCAGCAATGGAGCACCTGCTCCATATCCATTTTAGTAAAGGTAAAGGTTCCCCTCGCACATATGTGCTAGTCGTTTCTGACTCTAGGGGGCGGTGCTCATCTCCGTTTCAAGGCTGAAGAGGCAGCGCTGTCCGAAGACATCTCCATGGTCATGTGGCCGGCATAACTCAACGCCAAAGGCACATGGAACACTGTTACCTTCCCACCAAAAGTGGTCCCTATTTTTCTACTTGCATTTTTTAAGTGCTTTCGAACTGCTAGGTTGGCGGAAGCTGGGACAAGGAACAGGAGCTCACCCTGTTATGCGGCACTAGGGATTCGAACTGCTGAACTGCCGACCTTTCGATCGACAAGCTCAGCGTCTTAGCCACTGAGCCACCGCGTCCCTTAGAATATCCATTTTAGTAGCATGCAAACAGTTCCCATCGATTCGGCTGTTCGAACGGAGATTAGCAAATTGGTACTGGTAATCCCAACATAGATTGTTTTCAGAGGTTGATTGAGAGTTGCCATACAACACAGCTGGAGAGCATCAGAATGCTCCTCCCAATCTTCCTACCAGTCCAATACCAACTCCCTGAGTCTGTGATAGATCAGCCTTGGGATTTTTTTGGTGCTCTCCCACCAAAGGTGGGTTTCATATATTTTTACCACCGGTTCGCCACATGCGTGTACACTCGCTTCACGCACATGCACATCTTCTGCGCATGCACCCGGCCTTCCATGCACGTGCTTTGCTCATACACGCAGCTTTTTTGCATGCACCCAGCCTCGAAAACGTGCCTAAATAGGACAGCATAGAAGGCCCTCCCACGATCGCTGCTACCAGTTCACCCGAAACCAGCTAAATACCCACCACTGTCTCCCACCTATGGGATAAGCAGGTTCAGTCCTGCTTGGATTTTTAAGACCAGCCAATGCTAGTTGACTGCCATCTAGCTGTGTTAATCTGACCCTTACTGTAGTCCCCCCCCAAAAAAAGAGAGAGAGAGAGACGCAATTATTTTATTTATTTCTTCAGGCCGAATAGGGAGTGATTTTTCCATCAGCTGCAAGGTTGGATAAAGACAAGTTCTTCCATCTGCTACAAGGAGGTTTGCATGGGATGGTTTTAAAAAAGGAGGGGGAGAAGATTGCATCCATAACAGACCAACTGAAATTCCACCCATTTTTAATATGCATCTCACATTTGATGCACATAACAAGGCAAGCCGAGCTTTGACTGCATCATTGTGGCCCCGGGTCTACTGTACGGTCCAATCCTCCATGGAAATTATCAATTACAGTAACTGCTTCTGAACACTTAAAAATGTTATTTATTTTTTTCAACCCACCTTTCAGGTTGCATTGCCCTCCGAAGCCAGTTGATGAGACAAGAGCCAGTGCCTAGTTGAACATGGCTTTAAACATCCTTAAACAAGCGACAATTAAAACCTTTTGTTTGCTTTTCTTGTGTGTGTAGAGCACAATTCCTGCCAGATGCAGAACGGAATTAATTTGGTGTTCTGAGTTCTTTTACAAAGACAGCAGTTGATCATGCCATATATGAGTCCTCTTCAGGTTCTACTGCCAGAATTTAATGGCACGGTTTCCAAAATATCAGGAGCAGAATTTCCTGTCACCTTATGGTGGGGATCTCTGTCTCTCTGTCTGTCTGTCTGTCTAAATCTCCCTTTTTATGATCCTGTAATCCCTTAATTCGAGGTTGAATTGGGGCAACTGGATGGAGCTGAGTGTTTACTCAGGCTGGATGCCCTTCCTTGATGCCACGTGGAGTTCGCAACAGATTTTTTATTTTTTTTTGCACCCAAGGAGAGAATTGTCTGCTACTACCTAGGATTGAACTCTCAACCTTCTAAAACGGAGGTGAATGTCTTCACCACTAGGCCACCACACTGCTCTGTCTGTTTCAGTAGTGAGTTTCAAAACCCATCGCTACCGGTATGCTCGTGGGCGCTCGCTCGTGCGCATGCGTGACGCTTCTGCAGAAGCGTCTGGGCGAGTGGGCGGAGCCTCCCACTGCCGGCACTACTGGTTCACCCAATCTGGGGCGAACCGGTTCTGTTTGTCTGTCTGTCTGTCTGTCTGTCTGTCTGTATCTATCTATCCATCCATCCATCCATCCATTCATCCATCCATCATCCATCATCCCTCTAGCTAGCTAGTTATCCATCTAGTTATCTATCTATATCTATCTGTCTACCTACCTACCTACCTCTATATCTCTCTATCTATCTATCTACCTACCTACCTACCTACCTCTATTTCTCTCTCTCTCTCTCTCTCTATCTATCTATCTATCTATCTATCTATCTATCTACCTACCTACCTCTATTTCTCTCTCTCTCTCTCTCTATCTATCTATCTACCTACCTACCTACCTACCTACCTACCTACCTACCTACCTACCTAAACACTTTTTTGAAAGGATTTGTGTGTGAGGCAACTCTGGGTTCTTTGCTCGTCCTTTATGGCTTTCTTCTCCACACTTTTGAGCCCAGGGCCATGAAAAATTTGCCTACCTTTCTCGCAGAGAACCAGGGGTGCTGCACAAGGTAGTGTCAACACTTCAAGATGGCAACTGCAATGATGTGATCAAAGCTCCACCCATTCTTATGCAAATGAGGGACACTTAAAAAAAAAACACTGAGCTGCAATTCCATTCTTCCGGCCATTTTCTTGGCTGTTTTGAGAACGTCCTGTGTTCACTCCTGCAAACTACCCTCTGACAGTTTGATCTTTTCATTTTAATGCACCTTAAAACATGTACAGAGTTGGTCTATGCTGGCTTGTGAACACTGTGTCCTATAAAGTAATGTATTCTTTTTTTAAAAAATTCCTTTATTTGCTCAATTTATATACCAAGCTCAGGAGCCGAAGAAGCATTCATAACTCCCCCCTCCTATTATTTTTGTGCACAACAACTCTGAGATAGGTTGGATTGATGGAGAATGACTGGCCTAAAGCTACCCAACTTTCCAGGCTGAGGAAAGACCCAGGATTCTTCAAAGGCAGTCCAATGGTTTAATAAAGGTAAAGGTTCCCCTCGCACATATGTGCTAGTCGTTCCCGACTCTAAGGGGCAGTGCTCATCTCCATTTCAAAGCCAAAGAGCCAGCGCTGTCCGAAGACGTCTCTGTGGCTTAGGTGGCCGGCATGACTAAACGCCAATGGTGCACGAAACGCTGTTACCTTCCCACCAAAGGTGGTCCCTATTTTTCTACTGGCATTTTTTATGTGCTTTCGAAATGTTAGGTTGGCAGAAGCTGGGACAAGTAACGGGAGCTCACCCCGTTATGCGGCACTAGGGATTCGAACCGCTGAACCGCCGACCTTTCGATCAACAAGCTCAGCATCTTAGCCACTGAGCCACCGCGTCCCTTTAATGGCTTAATACTTAGAGCATAATAGCTCTTACAATGCTGAACTGATGCAACCACTGATTCAATGAATTGAACTGTGCTGGAAATGAAATATTCTTGACCCCGCCCTCAAAACAGTCGAGGTAAAGTCGTATGTATGTATGGCATGGGGAAGGATGATGTGCAGAGACGGAACGGTGTGTCTTTTCTTGCATGTCTATGCTAGGTTTTAAATGACTGCATTTTGTATAAATAAAAGTATCCACTTTCCCCCCCCCCACCCTTAATAAAATGACTCTTGTGTTGAATCTCCTTAAGCAACGAGTTGCGGTCCTGTATGCAAGTGGGAGAAACAAATTGCTTGCGTTATCATCATTCTGATTTTTAATCAGCCCGGTAACTGACAAAATTGCTGCGTCTTTGAAAAAAAACAATGCACAATTCCGAAACATATTTTAAAATCCAGAAAAATGCAAGCAGGGCAATAAAAGGAACGATTAGCATAAAAAATTACACACGCTTTTAATGTCTCCCATAACTTGCTGCCTTCCAGATGTCTGGATGGATCTTGTGCAGTATTTTAGCACACATAACCAACAGCAACCCACCAGGAACCACATCTTAGCTAGAAATGGAAATTCCCAGTTCAAGTCTTACCCATAAAAGTCCATTTTGGGGCCTGTACAAGTAGTCCTCTACTTACAACAGTTCATTGAGCGACCATTTGAAGTTGCAACTGCACTGAAAAATGTGAGTTATGACCATTTTTCACACAACTGTTACAGCATCCCCTTGGTGAAGTGATCAAAATTCAGATGCTTGGCAACTCATATTTATGACCGTTGCAGAGTCCCGGAGTCGTGTGATTCCCTTTTGCGACCTTCTGACAAGCAAAGTCAATGGGGAAGCCAGATTCACTTAACAACCGTGTCACTAATTTAACACTTGAAGTGATTCACTTAACAACTGTGTCAAGGTTGCAAAATGGGGCAAAACTCACTTAAGAAATGTCTCACTTAGTAACAGAAATGTCAGGCTCAGTTGTGGTCGTAAGTCGAGGACTACCTGTATAACATTCAGCAACGTATAGCAATAGCACTTAGACTTATATTCCGCTTCATAGTACTTTTACAGCCCTCTCTAAGCGGTTCACAGAGTCAGCATCAGAGGTGGGTTCCAGCAGGTTCTGACCAGTTCTGGAGAACCAGTAGCGGAAATTTTGAGTAGTTCGGAGAACCGGCAAATACCACCTCTGACTGGCCCCGGCCCCATCTATTCTCTGCCACCCAAATCCCAGCTGATCGGGAGGGAATGGGGATTTTGCAGTATCCTTCCCCTGGAGTGGTGAGGGAATGGAGATTTTACATTACAGTATCCTTCCCCTGCCACACTCGGTGTGCCACCATGGCTCTATGTTAAACACCACCTACAAATGTTGTTGGGTTGAGCTCCGAGCTTGGCGATATGGTTGCAAACGTTTCGTCCCTATTGGTGGAGACATCTTCATTTCAATAAATGTTTAAAGTGTGGTTGGAAAACAACCACTTCTCATTTTAGGCAGCTGTCTGAGACGCTTAGCTTCCCTCTCCCCTAAACTAACTTACGCTTGGAGAAACTTGATGAATAGAATCCCAGATGTTGTTCATGCTGCAGGCTGATTGTTGTGGCCTGTTGGCCATCGGCCACTCCAGCAGCCGAATCAGAGGAGGAGGAGGAGGAGGCGTGGGAGTCAGGGTCAGCATCAAGGCAACCTGAGAGCTTTGAGGGGAAAGAGGGAATGGAGCTGGCAGAGAGAGAGAGACAGAGGCGGAGCCTGGGCCGTCCGTCAGCCCTCAGATGGAGAGTCAACAGCCCCCAGGTCTGGAGATGGCTGATGAGGAAGAGGAGGAACAGCTGGGTCCAGTGCCTGACGCACAGAAGGCAGAGGAGAGGAGAGCAGTGGAAATCTGTGGGCCGATCCTTGGGAAGGAAGAGCCACCACTGCTAGCAAAGCCCCACTCTAGCTCTGGGGATAAAAGGCAGGGGGCGGAGATGAATAGATGTGGCAGACAACTATTCATCTTTCGGCTGGCCAGACTTGTTAGCCTGCGGTGAGAGAGAAACTTTTTGCCAGGGCTGCTGGCGCTCCTAATAAAGGAATTATTTATTTAACTTCAGAGGATTTGTTGAGTTTGGGGAGCTGGGTCAGAACACCTGTTCTAGTTTCTATTCAGAGAAATTGCATCTGAATTACTCCCTCCTGGTAACTTGTATGCCGGGACCAAACGCCTTTTGCATCCCGCTGTAGCCTACGCAGCAGCTGTACCACCATATTTCCACGTGGCAAGAGCGGCTCACACAGAGGGAATTTGCTAGGCTCGGGGATTGCACAAACAACTCACGGCTCCTGGCTGCGTGCACACACACACACACACACACATGTTACTGGCATCTTGGAAATGGACAAACTTCATGCGTTAGCAACAGGAAGATGGAGCCACGGATGAAAGGCAAGCCAACTGCACTAGTTGGGGTTAAAGAAGAAGCTGTTAGTAGGGAATGACAGAAAACAGCTCATTATATTAAACAAGATGAGAAAGGCTGTAGCAAGCTTTCCTACTACGATTTCTTCCAGATACCTAGGGGAAGGATGCTGCAAAATCTCCATTCCAGAGGGGGGTTTCAGCAGGTTCTCACCAGTTCTGGAGAACCGGTAGTGGAAATTTTGAGTAGTTCAGAAAACTGGAAGTAAAAAATTCTAGCCTCCATCTATTCTCTGCCTAGCAAGTTCCAGCTGATTGGGAGGAAATGTGGATTTTGCAGTATCCTTCCCCTGGAGTGTCTCATGTCTCCCCTAGTCCTTCTTTTCATTAAACTAGACATACCCAGTTCCTGCAACCGTTCTTCATATGTTTTAGCCTCCAGTCCCCTAATCCTCTTTGTTGCTCTTCTCTGCACTCTTTCTAGAGTCTCAACATCTTTTTTACATCCTGGCAACCAAAACTGAATGCAGTATTCCAAGTGTGGCCTTACCAAGGCCTTGTAAAGTGGTATTAACTCTTCACGTGATCTTGATTCTATCCCTCTGTTTATGCAGCCTAGAACTGGGTTGGCTTTTTTGGCAGCTGCTGCACACTGCTGGCTCATATTTAAATAGTTGTCCACTAGGACTCCAAGATCCGTCTCACAGTTACTACTATTAACCTACTTGAACTGATGACTCTCAGTCATACAGGTAGAGTTGTCTGGAAGTCATGACAACTGGACTTTTGTTGTTGTTGTTGTTTGAAATGTTTCTATGGGGTCCCCTTAACCAACTTACTCAGAATGGAGAAGCTTCTTGGATAAGCAACAAAACATTTCAAACTAAAAAGAAATCCAGTTGCCAGGACGCAACTTCCAGATAACTTACTCAAGTTCTGCCTTTGATGTCTTCCATCAAATCATTTCTCTTATAGGGTCCTCCTTTTCCAGACCTCTCTGATTTTGGAATTGTTAGCATAAGATCTGACATCCCTAAGTAGAAATGAAGAAATGCCCAAAGACTTATCACAATGCAAATATTCTAGCATTGATTAAATTTATACTTACCGACAAAGAAATTTGGGTAGACCAGGTTGCTTTGATTAAAAAACAAACAAACACTTAATCTGTCCCTTGGTATAGCTGACAAAGCGAGGAGAGCCCACGGCTTAGAGGTTAATACATCTACCTAATATGTAAGTAGCCCAGGTTCGAATCCCAGAAGGGTATGGCTATCTGATGAGAGCTAAAAAGGTAAAGGTAAAGGTTCCCCTCGCACATATGTGCTAGTTGTTCTAGGGGGTGGTGCTCATCTCCGTTTCAAAGCCGAAGAGCCAGTGCTGCCAAAGTTGTTTCCGTGGCCATGTGGCCAGCATGACTGAACGCCAAAGGTGCACAGAACGCTGTTACCTTCCCACCAAAGGTGGCCCCGATTTTTCTACTTGCATTTTTTACGTGCTTTCAAACTACTATTAAATTTTGATTTTAATTGGGTTTGTTTTAAATTGCGGCCAAAAATATTTAATTATTTTAAACTGTTTTTAAATTTTGTATGTTCTGTTTTTATTCTGGCTGTTCACCGACCTGAGTCCTGCTGGAGAAGGGCGGTATACAAATTAAAACAACTAACCAACTAACTACTAGGTTGGCAGAAGCTGGGACAAGTAACAGGAGCTAACCCCATTACGCGGCACCAAGGATTCGAACTGCTGAACTGCCGACCTTTCGATGACAAGCTCAATGTCTTAGCCACTGAGCCACCCCGTCCCCTGATGAGAGCTAAATAGCTTTAAATATATCTATACTAGTCTCCCTTTATTTCATTGTCGGTAAATATAAATGTAACACAAAAATAGTTTGTCATGAAAGTGACTGCCTGTGAAGGCTCTTGGATTGGGGTTGAAAGGCAAAAGCAGAAGCAGTACGCTCCATCCCATATTTGGGTAGATCAGGTTGAAAAAAACAAAAACACTTAATTCTAGCATTGGCTTACCCAGAGTTTAGCTGATGGCGACCATATCATCCGTGCCCTGCAGGATGAGGGCACATTATAGAAACCACAATGAATCATCACAGACACAAATAAGTGCTTCTTTTGCTGGACTGCAAAAGATGTAGTACTTACTTCTGTAGAAGTGGGATTCTGCTGGTTTCTATCAACAAAGACCATTTAGGACCAGGTTATGTTTCCTAAGAGGGGCAAAATGCATCCATTAACAATTCCTATTGAAACAGGAGGACCTAAACTCATCAACGAAGCAGCAGATCAGCTCCAAGGACTCCAATTAATGTCTCTACAAAAGATCTTGTGCATTGCGGGCTACATGTGGCTTTAAAGCAAGGATTTTAAGTGGTCTTGATATTTCCTGTTGTGGTCAGCCCTCCTTGAAATCATAATTCCTCCTCCAGTTGCCTCCTCCCGGAGCTCATTGGTCATTTTTCTCCATAGCAACCACTATCATAGGAAGCTGAGTGGGGAATAAGTTCAGGGATGCCAATTTAGGTCGGTCTGCTTTGGAGAAAATGTAAAAGGAGAAGCAGAGGTAGGTTTGTGCAGCTCGTGTTGAGAATTCATCAAGTCAAGCCATTCTCCAGAGAAAGCTTTCTTGCCTCCTTTGGGGTTGCATCGATAGTAGTGGCCAAAATTGTGGAAATCTTTTGGGAAAAGCGTATTTTCTAAAACTAGCTAATAACACCACTTTTTTTTTTAGTAGTATCATAAAATTATATATCAATGGAAAGATAATTTAATCAAGAATGTAATGCAATAACTTTTATGAAGGATTTGCTATTAGAATAGCAGTTACAGTATAAA